GCATTTCTATGAAGATTGAAATTTTGCCAGAAACTTCAAATAAGAAAGGCTTGTTATAAGAAACTTCAGTATAATTTTGAAACCTGAATCACAGCATTTAGAAACATATTTTTGATAAGATGAGTCAGAAGCGAAGTAATGGCTAGTTATGGATCTGGACAGAAAAATGGGGACATAGCAAGATCATGTCTTCATTTGTTGCTTTGGGGGGAAAAAACAGACACAGGCTTCCAATTTTGACCAGGTAATGCAGGACAATATAAATATATATTGTACCTTTGCATTAATTTCCAGTTTCGAGGATATACTGAACAGCAAGCCCCCTAGACCTTTGACCCTTCCTTTGGCCAAGATGGTTTTTTCAATATGTAACAAAAGTAGAAATGTCAACTTTGCATAACATTTTAGAAATCACATGGACACCAGAAAACACCTTAATGAGCTCAAGAAGTCCACCTCAAACATTGGCTAAAGACTTTGAAGCTAATATGTTTTGCTAACAATTTCAATGGTTTTATAGCAAGGTTATAAATGCCCATACCCTGAAAAAGGAACATAAATATCCCATACTGATATACGATATCAGATATCCCAAACATATCACTATAGGAGTATCTGACATCAAAACCTGCCTTCAGTGGGCTCAGTAACAAAAAATGAAACAGCATCTCCATTTTATACAATGCTCAGCAGCTCTATAGATCATCACAGCATGAGAGTGAACGATCCCAACAGCAAGTGCATGATGCCAATACATCAAAGGAAGAAGGCAGAGCTAGCCTGCTCAATAAGGGGCCAAATTCTGCCTACATAAAAAGAGTGAAATGCATTATTTTCACTCCACATGACAAAGTCACCAACCATGGAATTAATAAAAAGAAGCAGAAAAGCATTATTTTACCATACTCATATTTTAAATCAGAAAGAAGGCAGGCAAGGACATTTTCCTCACCAACTGCCTTTAGTATTGCGCTCAAAATCAGTTCTTCTCGTGACCAAGTACAATTAAGGCATCTAATGAGGAAACTAAACTAGCCTCTAGTCCCTACAGGTCAATGAGAATTGACAAAAGTTATCAGAACAGCCACAGTGAAATTCAGAGTTAACTTGACCTTTATCTTGTTAGTCTCTAAATGGATTTCCCACCATCGGCTTTACCATAAACAAGCATAAAGGATTTCTCTAAGAAAGCAGCTTTCCCTGTGATTTGGATTGGTCATATTTACAAATCTCAGCCTTTGTTTAAACATCATTACACTCTTAACAGAACGTGGCTGATCCTGTCAGGCTGAGAAGCTAAGCAGAGATGGATCTGATTAATTCTTGCATGGAGATCCACCAAGGCTGGAAATTAGACTGGCAAGCAAAGTATAATAATTTACTCCAAGAGATGATAACAGCAAACAAGCTCTTCTGCAGCTTAAAAATTATAGGGTTATTTTCAAAAAGCCATCAGGAGTTGAACCAAATTGAAGGAGACATTTCTCTTTGTTAGATTTTCCTTCAGCAGTTCAAAGCAGCATACCTAGCACAGCTCCTCTAACAGTTTCCATATATTAGGGTTCTTTGTTTCATTCTTTCTTTCTCACATTATCACCCTACTCAATTTCATCTAAACCTTACAGAGAAGTTCACAGGTTTTTTTTTAAATAATGTATTTATTTAATTTACACTTATCAAAAGCAGTCAGTGATGGGGGCCCACCCATTACACCAAGCCTGAGTCTGTTTAACTAGTGTAATAAATATGCCATAATTGGCTGATTTTACACAAAATGAACCCTCATTAATGGTTCAGTTCATGCCGCATGTTAAGTTAACCCTAAACACAGCAGATTAGGGTTTAGCATATTGTGTGCGAATCAGACCAGAAACTGCCTGTGGGCTCATGATATTCCTTATAAACCTTCGTAGTGCTCAGACTGCTTCAAACAAGCTCCAGATGCTAAAGACATACTCTGTGAGAATACGCATATGATTTACAGAGGCTTTGCCATTCTACCTCCAGCTGCTTTCTAGATATCTAAAGGTGAATATTATCAAGCCACTGTCTGTCAGCAATCCCATTAATTTAATATCTACATGTTAATTGTTCTGCACTAATAATAATAGAATCTCCAGTCAAAAAGATGTTAGATATTTTATTACTACAACATCCTTGAGAATATCTGTTTGACCAGATATGATAACAAGCTATAAGAACTAAGCATCTGCTATCATGGACTATCTCTTTTCTGTTTATGTGCAATTCTCTAACAGTCAAGCTCCTTCAAGGAGAGACTGTAATTTTTGCTGATATTATTCTGCATGACACAATGAACATTAAAGTGGAATAACAATAATTAAAGTAAATACTTTCCATGCCAACTACAGGATGCAGAAAGCAGCAAAAGATTCCTACAAAATATATGGGATTTCGATGTTAAAGAGGAAGGCAATTGCTAAACTCACCAAGAATTTATTCAGTTTAACTAAGAAAGGCAGAAGTTACAGAATTACTATAAAGTGCAGCTCTTTTTATCTCACTCAATAAAACAATTTCTCTTTCACAAGGGGGCTGTATTATTGCCATCTCCAGACAAAATTTTATTTCATCAACCTACTGGGCTGCTTTATCACGCAGAATAGCTATCAGAAAAGAATAAAAACATATACAGAATGAGGAAAGAGGATTGTAAACGTCAGATTCTATCAAATTTCCCCCATTTTCAATAATATACCTATATATCATTGCTCAATTATTAAACACCTCTAATTTATTAACAACTCTAAAGCCTATTTTAATAATCACGAAACAGAGATCTGTATGGTTCCCATTTCAAGGACATTCTGAAAGTCTTTGAACGCCTATAAGTCAGTCAACCAACCAGAGAGCTTCTAAATTTAAATAAATAATTTTACACTACATTGCAAATTTTTCTTTTATTCCTATTTCTCCTTTTAATAAGTCATTTCAGGATTTTGTATTATTATTATTTAAATTATGCTTTTCAGACAGTACTTGTTTTGAAGCCACTGTGAGACAAGTACCATTTCTTATCCTGATCAGCAAGCATAAAATAAAACCCAAACAATATTTAGCCCTTTTAGAACAATAACGAAGTAAACCTCATAAAAGGCACAATCTTGGGTCTCCTAGAATTTATTTTATTCAAAAAGCAAATACATGTCAATTCAGTGAATAAAGAAGAGATCCAATAAATAATAAATTCTTAACAGAACTAGAAAAAGAAAAAGAAAAAAATTACTAATTTTTTCAAAGCATTTCAAAATATTTTTCAAAGCAAAGAAACACTGTAAGAAGAGCACTCAATCTAAAAAAATTACTTTCATAATAGGGAATCCTTAAATAAATAAAATAGAATTGGTCAAACAAATAGAGCAAAATTACAGACAAACATCCTTAGGAAAAGGAAGAAAATCAATTCAATATTCAGCAAGAGAGAAAAAAATAGAAAATCTGATCTCATGCTAATTTATAATTTGTTTACTGAGTTATGAGATTTTTGATATATCCTGGGCTTTTTGCCCATATAATATTCATGAATAAAATTATGTATGGTATGTGTAATGGGGTGCTTTTTTCCTACTTTGTAAATATTAGTATTAAGCACACAGTAAAATAGTTCCAATATGCTGCTTATTAATTCCAAACATGATACAAATGGAGAAACATACATTAATTTCTAATAAATCTGGACTAAATATTAACAACATCACAGTTCATCAGATCAAAATGAGAGGTCTATATATTTTAAGTATATAAACATCCAAGATTTAATGTCCAAATCTACGAATATTGAGTTTCAGTGGCATCAGTAATTGCAAATAAAGTCATCATATTACACTGAGCTGAAGCAGATTTCCCTTCGCCTTCATAAGTCTGGAGAATTATTCCTCCAGTGTTATTTCAATGAACTGGAAGACTGTATTTCATGATGCTCCTTGATCTGACAATCATCACTCGGTCAACTTGAGAGAACTTGGATTGTCAAGAAAAACACCTGTGACCAAAACATGGTGAGTGTGATTTCAAAAGGAAAATATGTCCTGCTGTAAGTAATTCTCCTCCAAATGAAATAACCAGAAGGAAGAAACAACAATACTATAGCAATAGTACTTAGACGTATATACAACTCCATAGTGCTTTACAGCCTTCTCTAAGCAGTTTACAGAGACAGCATATTGGCCCCAATAATCTGGCCCCTCCATCAGCATCCTACACAAGTATTGTGAAAAAATCCAAATTAATCTCTGTTCTAGTAAAAGAACCTGCAAAAAAGGTTTCATTCCACCATTGAAATGGAAAGATGCACGTGTCTTTTCTAGTTATTGTAATTGTACATTGGACTTAAGATTAGTTTGCAACTAGTATAATAAACTATTGGCCTATTTTCATTTTGTCATACTGAGAATTCTCATTGTAGTGGTCTGATCGAGCAATTTAACAATAAACCATGGTTTACAGTGCATTATTTTTTACATTTTTTTTCTCAACAGAAGTTTTATGAATCCACATGAGCCTTTCAGAATCCCAGATGATCTTCATGAACAAGTTGTGATATTTGAAGCATTGTATAATACTGCTTCTTCTAACAACAGTTATCAGAGAATTTTGGACAGTTACCCAGATCCAACTTGTGAAAGCTTATATGAGTATGTTCTTATTTTCGCTTTTTAGTTGAGTGCTACTTATTAAACAAAAAGATTGGAGAAAGCGTTTGATTGAATTAGAATTGTTAATTGTTACAAGTTAACCCATTTGTATTTTTGCTAAATTTATGACGAGACGTTCCTTTCTAAATCTTCCATTGAAGCCTACCAAGGATCTGTTTCAAATGTGCCGTACTTTTTTTTTTTAGGCACAGCTATGGATTGCTACGTGGCTGATCAAAGTTAGCTTTTAAGATCATTCATTATTGGGAATCCTTTAGAACGTTTTATTTCTTGTGTGCTGCCTTTGTGAGATGGTTCTTTATCTCATTTTTCTTTATGTTGATCCAGTTACTGTTTATGTAAATTTATTTTTTACTGGAAATTCTTTTTTAATTGCCAGTAAAGTATTTATCCAAACTATGTTGACCTGTTGTAGCTTGGCACCAATATATGAAAGTATCTGTTGCTTCCCATACAAAGTTTGTTAATTGCCTTAAATTGCAAGTTGTCTTTATAGAACAAGTTGCATTGTATTGGCTTCAAACATTGAGCTTTGTTTACAGTTCTCTTTTGTACTAGCAACATGGAAAGGGAAGGAGGGCAGTCCCAGAAGACTATTTCCTTGAAATCTCTGCATGTTTGTTTAATACTTGAAATGAGCCATACATTTATAACACTTCCCTTCAAAAGTGTGGGTATTTCAGGATGCATTCAGACAATCTAGGGTATCAAGAAAAACTGTCCAACTTCTCCCACAACATGTGATATTTGGAAAGCCCAGTAGTGTTTAATACAAAGTGACAAAGTGTATTTTCTAATTTGTAAATATTTTTATATTTCAAACTGGGATTCTTAAGTTTTCCACTCTATCTTACTCTGGTAACAATGACCATTTAAAGGTAAATCAGTAAAAAAACAGCTGACTTTATGGCTGCATCATTTCTATACATACACTTTTTTTTGGCCTCCATCTATTTGAATAATGTACAATATTTCTGAATGCAGTTCCTTTGGACTATAAGAATGAGAGACTTTTTCCATTTCTTACCTAAATGCCAATGGTTCTAGACACTTTTGAGCAATTTAATTGCATATATATCCAGATTATGAATGCTTACTTTGGTAATAAAATTATATTTTGATTACTTTCCCAGCTATTTTTCTCAAATCTTGGAAGAACATGGTCCCATGGAAATTGATAATCCACTATTAGTTGGGGAATATGAAGATTTCCCAGCAGACACTCGTAGGATAGTGGAGAATGCTGGTGGTCTAAAATCTTTTCTTCTGGGATCTCTACGTTTTGTTATGGTGGATGATCTTATTGGACTGATGAAACATGCAGTTATGCTGCAGGAAAATGCAGAACTCATTGAAATTGATGAAAACAATTATTCAGAGAGCCTATACTGTCAAAAAAACAAAAACAATTTCCATAGCATTTCCAGTTTAAATCCAACTGCTAAGGAATTTAAGCCTCTCTCTTTTATTAATAAGCCTTATATTTCAACATCTCCAAATAATTTAGAATATGTGACTGCTAGCCATTCCTCATTTAGTCCTTTTGCTTCCTCATATTCTTTTTCTAGTCAGACAACTGACACTGCACCAGTGGCAAGTATATCTTTGTCTCCAACTGTACCTGACGATTATACAATAATTCTGAATAAAATTCATTCAGAATATGTAAATGAGAGACTACCTCGTTTTTACTCAAGTGCCATTGATGCCAGATATTTCTAAGCAAACCAATTATATATATGCAGATTATAACATATATCAACCTTGAGGCAATCAGGATTGAACTGCTGGCAATTAGCAGAATTAGCCTGCAACAACCACTGCACCACCACAGCTCTTTAAACTGATGGAATCAGCACCCCTGCTTGGGCTTCTACTCAAGGTAGAAGGACTTATCCAGTATCAAGGAAGGCAAGACCTGGTCTGCCCCTTTCCCTTCTAAATACGAGTGTCACGCATAGACACACATTTTACATGCCAGTAACATTTCAACAAATCTCCAACACAGAATATGGATAACCTTCACATAAATGGGGTATATTTAAGCAACATGACTTCATAGAAAAAGTAAAATGAATTAAAAATACAAATATATCAAGGCATACATCTACATAAAATATGATTTAACGTGGATTATGTAAAACCCACAATTGCTTATATCAAAGAATGTGAATGATTAAAAATAAATTGACATGCACTGAAAGTCAGGATTTCATGAATAACATGAAATAAATTATTACTGCCCTTACACTAGGGGGGCCAAAAAAATTGGACAGAGCATACTGCCTTCAGAGGAAAGCAAACACTGTGCTCATAAAAACCATTCTTTATGCAAGATAGAACAGGCATGGCAATGTCCTGCTTTCTATATTTGGCAACCACAGGTTGGAAATAGAATAGACTGATCATCCTGTGTCCCAAGTAATGCCTAAGTGGCTCCTAAGAACTGCATTCAATTTTAACATTATTGTTAATTGGAGTTGTAACTCTGTGACTAGAAGGTTCACATAAGCATCAGGATTGTTCTCAGAAATATAAAATTATGCCATAATTTCCGGTAGCTGTTTCAAGAAAGGGATTAACTCTAAGATCTTTGAGGATATTGAAATATTTTCCCCCAACTGAGCTATTTCTTATTATTCCTTTTTTTGTAATTGCTAAACCACCTACATATTACCCTATGTGGCTTCAAGCATAAACTTACCTCTTTCACTAATGATTCACATTGCAAAATAGAAAATGTACTGGCCATTAATAGAGCATTACTCCTGACCAACATTAATGCTGTTTTTTAAAACAGTATAGAATTTAGTTAATATAGGTAGTATTAGGCAAATATAGCATGTCTGAAGCATCCACCAATGATAGATGACAGACAGATGAATTTTTTTTAAATATAAATTTTATTTGGGTTTTCACAAAATACAAATAAAACATCTTTTTTTGAGAATAGCATGATCCCGGGTTATCACTTCTCCATACAGACACAAACTCAATTTCATATTTATCTTTGTGTTCTATTCCATATCTTATTACTATTTTAACATTTTCTCCATAATTTTTCCCCTCCCTTAGTTTTCTCAATTTTATTTTTAATTATCTCATGTCTAAATTCAATTATATAACTTTTTCTAAGTTTCAATGTCTTTCTAATCATTATATTTATACTTTTGTCTCTCCTGCTTCAATGTCATATTATCTTTTCTCATTAAACAAATTTTCCCCTGTAGGTACTAATTGGAGTTTAACACCTTTATATCTTTTAATTTTATCCATTCAACTCTTAAACTTCAATTTATGCCTTTAAAATTATAACATTCAATACAGTGCATAACTTCCAATTGAATTCTGTTTGGAACATTCTTAAAATACACACTATGTTCTCTCTCTCTATATATATATGTTTTCTTAAGTTTTCGCGGGTATTTATATGTATGGTATTCAGCTTTGTTCGGGTATTTTCCCACGTCGTTATAGTTGTGCTTTTAAAGTTGTAGCAATATTTTGGCAGAATCTCATCTGCCATCATCAGGCTTCTGTATTGTGTTCGTCTGTGAGTCAGACTTTCACAGCCGTTTCTGTTTTAAATTTGGTGCTAGCCTACTGTTGTGCCAGAATGGTTTTTTTTCTTCATCCTGATTGGTTGGGAGTCTTGGTCTGTGTTTATTGGTCTTGGAGTTGGCTGTGTTCTGCTTGATTGGTGTTTCTAATATCTTCTGTCTGTTTTGTAGCTTTTTTTTGTCTTGATTGGCTGGCAACATTGTGTTTCCTGTATGGGAGGCTTTTAGTGTGGCTTGGCTCTGAGTAAACGGACGGCTATCATTTATTAGGAAGCTAGGTTTCATCTGGGTGCCTGGTTGGGGTGTGTTTGAGCTGGAGGTATCAGTGGGGGTCTGTTTGTGCCCAGGTGTTTGCCTGGCTTGTGGTGTGGAGATTTTTTGTTTGTTTGTGATTGCAGGCTTCCAAATAATTGACAGTCTGGTGGAATCATCTCTTCTATTCATGCTTTCAGGTCTTTTTTCAATCTCTATGGCTTCTCTGATAATTCTGTAGCTGGGGTTTTCTATAGTGGCTAGGGTTTTAGTGCCATTGAAGTTGATGCTGTGACCTGTTGCTTTCATGTGTTGAACTAGTGAGGAAGTGTGTTCCAGCTTTTTTACTGCATTTTTGTGTTCATCCAGGCGGGTACTTATTCTTCTACTGGTCTGTCCAATGTATGTGGCAAGGCATGATGCACAGGGGATTTCATATATGCCTTCATTTTCCAGGTCAATTTTATCTTTGGGGTTTCTTAGGATGGCTGCTATTTTTCTGTCAGTTTTGAAGGCAGTCTTGATGTGATGCCTGTGTAGTATCTTACTGATTTTGTCTGTAGTACCTCTTATGTAGGGCAGGACAGCTGTTCCATAGGTCTATTCATCTTCTAGGTCTCCATTATGTCTCAAGGTGTTTTTGTGGATCAGGCCAGTGATTTTGCTTTTGTGGAAGCTGTTAGCTGTCAGTACTTTAGTCAGGGTGTGTAGTTCAGTCTTTATGTGTGTCTTGTCTGCCAGGCGTTTGGTTCTGGCAATTAGTGTTTTGGCCACAGAGTTTAGCTCTGCTGGGTGGTGGTGGGAATGGGGGTTGAGGTAGCAGTTGGTGTGTGTTTTCTTCTGGTATATGGTGTGTCCTAGTGTGCCCTCTGTTTTTTTGTAGATTAGTACATCTAGGAATGGTAGTTGTTTGTTTGTTTCCGTTTCCATGGTGAACTTGATTTTGGGGTGTGTGCTGTTTAGGTGTGTTAGGAAATTGTTTAGGTTTTCTTTTCCATGGGGCCAAATCACAAATGTGTCATCAATGTATCTTAACCATAGTTTGGGTGGCATTAGCTAGGGTTCTGGATTCGAATTCTTCCATGAACAGGTTTGCAATGACAGGTAACAGTGGTGATCCCATAGGGGCTCCTTCAATTTGCTTGTATCTTTGTCCTTTGTATATGAAATATGTGTTGGTTAAGCAGTGTTCTGCTAGTTCCATGAGGTGTTTGGGTGGTTGGTATTTATTTTTGATGATTTCGAGAGTTTCTTTTATCGGGACTTGAGTGAATAGTGAAACTACGTTGAAACTTACAAGCAGATCTTCTTGTTCCACATGTAGATCTTTGATCATTTCCAAGAAGTGGTATGAGTTTTGTACATGTGAAGCTGCTGCTTCAGCATGGGGCTGTAGCTGCTTTGCTAGGTATTTGGCTAGGTTTTGTAGTGGTGCTCTTTTGGAACTGACTATGGGTCTGAGGGGTATGCCTTCTTTGTGTATTTTGGGGAGGCCGTATAGTTTGGGGCATCTGGAAGATTTTTCTCTTGGGATGATCATCTGTTGGATCTCTTTGCTCATATTGCTGGTTATGGTTTTCTTTTTGGTTATTTTTTCCAGATATGTGGTTGGGTCCTGTTTATGGGTTTGTATGTGGAGTCTTGGAGTAGGTCTGTTAATTTTGTTTCATCGTCTTTTCTATCCATTACTACTGTGCCATTACCTTTATCTGCTGGAAGTATGATTATGCTGCTGTCATTCCTTAGGGCTTGCAGGGCTTTTAGTTCTTCTTTGTATAAGTTTGGGTGGTTTGCTTATGCATAGGATGTTAGTGACTTGGTGTCTTATTCTATCAGTTTCATCTGTATTTAATTTAGTTAGGCTGTATTCCACTCCACATATGATGGATTCTGTGGGGATTTTTTTGGTGCTATAGCATAATTGAATCCTTTGGTTAGGACATCTATTTCTCTTTTGGTGAGTTCTCTGTTGGAAACATTGTATACTAATTGTTTCAGGTGTTGTTGTGAGTTGTTGGGGGCTTTCTTGTCATGTTCTAATTTCTTTAGTTTCTTCAGGAGTTTGTCATTTTTGTAAGTGGTTCTGAGTGAGATGTTTAAATGTTTAGAATTATTTGTTTCATTTCTAATCTATTCAGTAACTAGCCAAAGCTCTCTGAATTGATTCAAAACTTAGTTTGAGCATTCAAAATAATAAAATGAAATAGCAATAAAAATTAAATACTGTACATTAATCAGTAGCCTGTAAAGCTACTGACAATATTAACTTAAGTAGATTATATTATAATACCAACTTTGTTCAAAAGTAAATTAATACCCAAGAGAAAAAGAATGTACATATTAAGAGCCCATACATAATCTCAAAATGTATTGGGGTAAAATGGAAAGGCTGCAGAAGAAAGGCAAATAAAGCTGCTCTTCATCCGTTTGCAAAAGATTAATTATTCCAAAACAGAAAAGAGGAAACAGTTTTTTCCATTGTTCTATGGTCTTAGCCAGCACCACTTCACTAAGGAGAGAGGGAGGGGGAAGGGGGGGAGGGAGATGGAGAGAGGGAGGGAGGGAGGTTTCTGATATACAACATAAACTAGAGCAGGGGTATCAAACTCACGGCCTACAGATCAGATGTGTCATGTGCTGGCCCCACCCAGTTTAGCGAAGGGGAAAAAAGTCCTGATACATCATGTGACACCACCATGACAATGCAATTTTGACACCCCTGAACTAGAGCATCAGTTGTGAAGTCTAAAGGCTGCTGATCCCATCGATTTCCTTAGAAGGGGGAAAGAAGTATCTCAGTTTATTCAATACTTACCAAGCAATGAGATAATACCCAAAAAGAGCTGTGTTACCGGACAGGCTGAGAGAAGTGAGTAGGTCAACCACCAAGATGTTCTTAGTCCTGAATTT